CCACCTGCTTGGTCGCATCAACCAGGCCTACAATGGTGTCGCGAACTTCTAGAGGAATGCCGAGTAAATGATTCTTCGGGTATTCGATAGTAGGAGCTTGGATGGTTGGGACTCGAGGTTTGGACATGAGCACGGGTTGAGGAGCACAGTCGCTGCCATGCACCTGACCATCCATCTTTGTATTCTTCTCACTCCCAAACTGTAGCCCCTGAGAAATGCTCATCTCCAGATCTATCATGCTGGTGCCGGGAGAGGGGACATTGGCAGGACGACAAGAGGTCGCTGTTGGCATGCAGTGACCTAGAGAAGGTGTGATTAGTTCAAGTCTAGACACCAAAAGCCATGGCTTCCTACCCGTGTTGATGGCTTTCATTTGCGAAGCACTGCTGAGTGCCATATTGACAAAGAAAGGCTCACTGTCCTCTGTGAGGGACAAAGCAGGTCGGGCGGTGAGGTGAGTCCGAATTTCTCGGTCTGTGCAGGTCCAGAGTAATTGAGAATTCGAGTGATCTTGAAGCAGCAACTTGCCTCGGCCACTCCCACGACAAAACGTAGTTCTGTTATTGTCAAGAAGACTGACAGGCGTCTGATAAGTGGGAATCAGAGGGAATTGTCCAGATCGAGGCACGTTAAGTGAGAGAGTTAGGTGAGAGAAGAAAGAAGAGGCGCGGTATATCACATGCTTTGTGCGCACCACGCACTGATTCAAATCGTGAAGGCAGTAGCAAGGTGACAATAAAAAGGACCAATGAGGTGACAGGTACCAAAGATGTGAAGTTGTTGAGTTAATTGGGTGAGACACATGTTATAGAGCTGTTCTGTCACCTCAACGCCTGGGACTCTCACCAACGTACCTACCACGTGACCTATACCAGGAAGAGTTTTCATATCTCTCAGCCTTGTAGGTGCAAATCTTGTCTCTGCACTGACGCATATGTATATATCTTTGGGGACGGAGACGGTGCGCATAGAGGGTATGATCGCTCCATATAGGATACGCATGACAAGCCAGCCGACAACCTTGCACACCAGAGTACTCGACTTACCTAAACCCACGGGACCATGAAAGCACATAAAATCACAGGACAACATTGACGGCACGCAAGTTGTTCTCACTCCAGTGCATGATATGCTGTTTTCTCCATGGCAGCAGAAGGAAATTCGAAGTGAGAAGGCTCCTGGTAACTCAGTCAGGTTGGTTCTCCGAGTCTTGAACCGGTAGTGCGTCGACACCAAGAATCTCGCATTGCAGGAGGAACTGCTTTTCCTGGGTCTATGCGCTTGTTCATCAAAGCGTGGTGATCTTCCTGATCCATCTCTAAGCCGGCCATCGAGCTGCGTTACGTCAACACGGTTCGTTCAGTGTGAAGTTCTGGTGTGACACCAAGAGCTGCCATCTTCGCGTCTTCAATCTTTCGGCACGGGATCGGAAGGGGGCTTTGAGACAAAAGAAGAGCCTCAAGCATCAACGATCGAAGGAAGACAGGTTTTGAGGCAGCTTAGTTGGCATTGCGCAAAGTTGAGCGATGAGATGGACGTGGAGAGAACAACAGGAACTGAGTGGAGTTGAAGTTTATGGTCGCGCAGTCACGAGACTCGGCCAACTTTCCTACCAAACATGATGGTGAATTTCCCTGTGGTGCATCACTCTGCTCCGACTAAAACTGTCGTGGTTCACGTTTCCTTGTCAGTCTTGTGCCCAACCGGTGGTGGAGGGGTTGGAGGTTATGCAGGGGAGGTCCCTTGTCCGTCAGTCTGCCAGACTGCTCTTTGTACGAAGCCTACATACCACCGCTGTCCGAGCTGCCGCTCAAGTTTCTCGCCTCGACCTCCGAACCATCGATGCGAAATGGCAACAGAGATGGGCAAACCAGCCAAAGGCCCGAGGGCAATCAAGCGCCCTACCCAAGTCCTATGTGCTACCGATGTTTGCTTACCCATCTGGGTCTCTTCATATGGGTCATCTTCGAGTCTATACCATCTCCGACGTGATCGCCCGCTATCGAAGAATGCGAGGTTATGATGTGCTTCACCCAACTGGCTGGGACGCATTTGGACTCCCAGCAGAGAATGCCGCAATCGAGCGCGGTCTTGATCCTGCTGTTTGGACCGATGATAATATTGCAAAGATGAAACAACAGCTCAAGAGCATGAACACAAGTTTTGACTGGGATGCCGTAGGTCAGAGGATTGGAATACATGTACATAGCGCTGATCAATCCTTCGTAGGAAATATCAACATGTTCGCCGTCGTTCTACAAGCACACTCAAGACATTTTCCTCAGGTTATATCATCGTGGTCTGGCATATCAAGCGGAAGCGCTGGTTAATTATGATCCTGTCGATAAAACGGTTCTTGCCAATGAGCAGGTCGACCACAATGGACGGTCGTGGCGATCAGGAGCTCTAGTGCAGCAGATCAAACTACGCCAGTGGTTCTTCAAAATAACGGAGTTCAAAGAAGATCTACTACAAGATCTGCAATATCTGTCCGACGGAGGAAAGTGGCCAGAGAGAGTCGTAACTCAGCAGCGGAATTGGATAGGTCGCTCAACAGGGGCACGCATCCAGTTTGGCTTAAGAGATGAATCCGGAAACTCTTGCCTTGTCCATGTCTTCACCACCCGTCCGGATACGCTGTTTGGAGTCAAATATATTGCACTCTCACTGACACACCCTCTCGTGGTACGGGCGGCCGCGAAGTTACCTGAGTTGCAGAAATTTCTCGACAGACGAGCTTCTTTCCCGCCCGACTCCAAGGAAGGCTTCGAGCTGCCGTATTCGGCCTTCAATCCCCTTTCACAAGTCGGAGATTCAGATGCGGAGCCATTGCCCGTTTATGCCGCCCCATATGTGCTGGCAGATTACGGAGAAGGCGCAGTGATGGGTGTCCCGGCTCACGACTCTCGCGATCTCAGCTTCTGGAAACTCCACAGACCCTCAGATCCTGTCACAATCGCGATATCGCCAGAGCCTTTAGCTAACAGGGCCTCTCGTGTGCTTGCCACCGATGTGGTCGAAGCGTACACAAATGATGGGTGGCTGACTTCTTTATGTGGTCCTTACACGGGTCTACCAAGCAGTAAGGCGAGAACCGAGATTGTCTCTGGACTGGAGAAACACGGTCTTGCGGAAGCAGTCGAAACTTGGAGACTTCGTGACTGGCTTGTGAGCCGCCAAAGATACTGGGGTACGCCAATCCCCATCATACACTGCCGGGCCTGCGGACCTGTTCCTGTGCCCAAAGAAGACCTTCCCGTGGTATTACCTCGACTCGATTCATCAATCAAAGGACAATCCGGTAATCCACTGGATAAGATCGCGGAATGGGTCAATTGCCAGTGCCCATCCTGCAAAGGTCCGGCGAAGCGAGAAACGGACACGATGGATACATTTGTCGACTCTTCCTGGTATTTCATGCGATTTCCAGACGCGACGAATGAACTGGAACCCTTCTCCCAGCAATCCGCAGCCGATATGCTCCCTGTGGATACCTACATTGGAGGCGTCGAGCATGCTATTCTACATTTACTCTATGCACGTTTCATCTACAAATTCCTGTGCAGCGAATGTCTCATTTCCAGCGACAAGGGCCATGCCGAGCCGTTCCAACAATTGATAGCGCAGGGTATGGTGCATGGGAAGACATTCTCCGACCCAGACAGTGGTCGATTCTTGTTGCCCAGTGAGGTCGACTTTGATGGCGAGGCCGCAACCATCAAAGCCTCTGGCCAGGCACCCAACGTCACTTGGGAGAAGATGTCCAAGAGCAAGCATAACGGTGTGGACCCCTCGGTCGCGATTGAGAAGTTTGGAGCAGATACTTTACGAGCCCATATTCTCTTCGCTGCACCAGTTAGTGAAGTGCTGCAATGGGACGAGGAAAAGATTGTTGGTATACAGAGGTGGTTTGGCAGAGTTCACCGCATCATCTCCGAGCTGCCTTCCCAGGACCAAGACGTCTCAAAGATCATGATACCTGAGCCGAGAGATCTTAGCACAAGTGATGCTGAGGCGCTGCTCTTGACGCAAGGGACCTGCAAGAGCATCTCGCAGACATTCTCGAGCGACATCTACAGCCTGAACACAGCCGTCTCGGACCTTATCAAGCTAACAAACGGCCTCGAAGGAATCGGCATCAATAATCTGACACCTTCTGTCGCTTATGTCGCCGTGACCGCGCTCCTAAAGATGATGGCGCCAATCACTCCAGCATTCGCCGAGGAATGTTGGGAAAGAGTGGTGCCGGGCACAGAAAGCAGGAGCATCTTCGATGTGTCATGGACGGGCGATGTCATAACGCCTGAACAAGAGGCTGCTCTACGGAGTCGCAAAACAACCATCACATGCGCCGTGCAGATCAATGGAAAACTACGGTTCACAGCACCAGTACCGTCCCCTCGCGCAGACGGCAAGGCTGGAACCGATCCAGCGGCACGAGAGGCGGAGATCATCCGTGCTGTTCTAGAAACGGAAGAAGGCCGAATGTGGCTAACGGAGAAGAACAACTGGGAAAAGAAGAAAAGAGTAATTGTCGTTGGAGGCGGCAAAGTGTTGAACGTTGTATTCTGAGGCCGCACGGTCCTGACACGGCCCAGTGCTTGTGCTCACTCTTCATGGCATGTACAACATTGTGGATGATATTAGAAACACTCAGCCTTGGTGGAATGGCAGGTGGAACACGTCATTTGAAACACGAGGCTAAACCACGGCATTGCTACATCCCACGTTCCCACTCGAATGTGTACACATCTTCATATGATCTTTCACTTGCATATTTGTGTCACCACCGTAACTTGACGCTCTTCACCTCTGAAAAAATTGGGGAGTCCATCAAAACAAAGGTCGAGCCCTCACAAACCCAAGACGGTAACTGAAATCTCATCAATGAACCGAGGCCAGCCTGATAATCTCAGGTATATGAATGATGTCTTAGGCTCAAGCCGCTTCGGCCTCATCAAGAGACTTCGGGCTCTTCCCCTTGGATCATCATTATTATCATGACTCTGACGAACTCCCTCGACGGCGAAGGCGGAAGCGAAGGCAAAGGCGTCGTCAAAGGAGACACATTCCCAGCCCCAGCCCCAGCCTCAGCCTCGAGCGCAGCACCAGCACCATCCCCATCGCCGCCACGCAGCAACAAACTCACACTCCCCGAAGAAATCACCTCCAGAGTGATCAGCTACATCGTGAGGGACGGACTGTGCATCTCGACCGATGCGCGTCACGACATCGACGTGGCGACGATCCGCTGTCTCATGAGGACGAGCGTGTCGGTCAGACGCGAAACCCTGCGCCAGGTGTTCCGCCAGCCGCTGCGCTTCTGGCTCAGCGGCGTCAAATCGTGCAATTGCCAGCCACTACTGGAAAGCATCGGGCACAAGGAGTGTCGCTGCACGCTGCTCCTGGAGAAGGTTGCGCGGATGCCGCTGATGAGGTGGCGCAGGGTCGTTGTGCATTTCGTCCCGGTGGTGTCTGCGTGGGGGTTGGGTGATGGGGCTGCCACCCTCCGAGGGGATTCACAACAGACTGGTGATGATGGAGCAGGAGGAGGAGAGAAAGAAGCAAAAGAAAAAGAGGTATCCGCTCGCAGCGAGTTCCTCGTCGGCGCGCAGCGCGTCAAGCACTACTCGCGAAGTCTCGCGACGACGCTCTACTTTGTGTTCAAACAGTGGGCCGGGCTGGACTGCGACGCCGCGTGTTGCGGAGCCATCGAGATGACGCGCCGCCGCTACTACGGTCCGCTCTACTGCTCGTACGACCCCAAACTGCCCGCCCTGCCATTCGACGTCGACTTTGTGTTCGAACCAGGTCCCGTGTCCGTCACCGCCAACACCAACGGCGGTAGCGGAGACAGAGAGACCGATCATCCACCACAAATGCCCCTGTGGACGATGAACATGGTCGAAAGCCTGCTAATGCCGTGGTGGCGGATCGCGGCCAAACGGGCTCCCGCGCGCCAGATCCAGCTACCCGAGATGATCGCCGCGGCCTTCACCACGGCGCGGCGGGACCTCCTCGTCGCGGCCGGGTTCCCGCACGAGCCGGCCGCGGTGGCGGAGCACCTGCGGCGCGACTTTGCCGAGTTTTGGTCCTTCAAGCTCGAGCCGGTGCCCCGCTTGGACGTGGGCAGCCTGTGGCTTTGCGTCGTCGCCGTTGACGGCTCCCGCGACTGGTACCTGGACCCGGCGCCGCTGAAGACGGCGCCCACGAAATGGACCATTCGCGGCATTCCTGTGCTTCGGATCGATGTGGTCTCGGGGTCCGGGTCAGAAGAGGGTGTGGACAGGGGCTCTGCCGGCGGCGACGGCGGGTGGTGGACAGGACGTTTCCTGGCTTCTGATGGCTAATGCTTGACCCAACTCAAACAAAACGGTTTGTTTTCTCAAGTAATGAGTTCCCGGCCCGTCCAGGCCAGGCCAGACCGGACCGGACCAGGTGCAGGACGTGCTGTATGAGGTACCAGATGACACTAGCTGAGAGGGACGCATACTACTTACACACACTGACAAGGCCAGACATCCATTGCGCTCTAGGGACGCTAATCAAGAATCATGTCATATCATTCACTCACATGAGCTCTGACGCTGAGAAGACTGTGCTAAGCTTGGACGTAACATAAACAACCAACCAACCAAATTAACGTGATCGTAATGGACGCTGCTGCGAGATTGTAAGAAAGGGTTTGGTGGATCCCCGATTCATTCCACTACATGTACCAAGCGGAAAAAGTATTGCATGTATGTCCTCGACGGCGACGAGCCTTGCACGGAAATGTGAGCGAACTTGACCAGATGTCCCGAAGCCCTGCGTGGATTCGGTGTCCTGGTCCGAGAGGGCCATAAATGGGAGCCTCGATCGATCTTGTTCGATTCGATCGAGCCCTCTCAGTTGGCCATGGTATCTGGCAAGTATGAATCCCAGATTGACTTCACGACTTGCCATTCTTCCAACGCAGGACGGTCCCACCAGGACGTGAGGTTCTGGGACTGACGACACAGTATAGCATATGGAGTCTCACCTTTTTGGTTCTTGATATTCCAATCGGCGCCGTTGCTGATCAAGGCCTGGAGACAGGGTTGAAATTTATTGCCAATGTCAATTTCCCACCTCAAGCCGGGAACCTTGCATAAATGGTGCAAGGCTGTGTCTCCCTCGTCATCGGTGAGATTGATATCGGGTACCTCAGAGGCAAATCGAACGACGCCATCGGCATATCTGTGCCAAGCAGCTATCATCAGAGCGTTCATTCCATATTTGTCGGTGCAGTGCAGATCAACATCGTCTCGAGAGGCCAAATATAACGCGGACTCTGGGCGGTGACTGTAGAGAGCATGCAGTAACGCATTCCGGCCGTTGTGAGACTTGGAGTTTGCTGGGAGGCCAGCACTGAGGAGGTACTCAATCACAGGCACCGCGCCGGCATCGGCAGCCCAGTGAAGGGCCGACCGTCCATAGCGGTCACAAACGTCTGCTTGAATGCCTCTTTGGCCCATGAGATACTGAACCACCTCCAAAGAGCCGACGCTTGCTGCCGCATGGAGTGGCGTGCAGCCTTCCTTATCTGCCACATTCAACTCACGCCCCCCACTATAAGCCAACAACTTCTTGACAATCCCGAGGCATCCCAAGCGAGCCGCGTGGGATAGGGCGGTTCCACCCCATTTGTTTTGTGCAGTGGTATAAGAGATGGCAATGTTGCGGGCCTCGCTCGAGTCCAAAGCAGATATCAGTTCCAGCAGTCGGTCAACTACCGCCTCGTCCCCACACAAGGCTGCATAGTGTAGATAGGTTTCATAGACTGAGCCTCGATGTTGATACCACGATATGGCCTCGGGTTCGGCAAGGATCCTGAGCGGAACAGCCTCAAGCCGAGACTGTAGCGCAAACGATAATGGAGGCAGACCATGATCATCTAGGTCGTTAAGTATGCCGTTGTTCAGATCGATCAAAAGATTTGCTGTTGACACATGGCGCTGATCTATTGCGTACCACAGTGGCGTACGCTGGCTGGAACCGCGCCAGCTTGTCAGTAACGTCACCCAGGATGTTTTGTCGTCTCCAAGACGACGTCTAAATTCAGCTGCCGACTCCCTGCACTCTAGACAGACTCCGTTCACACGCTCGTTCTGGTGTGTTTGGGGTCCACGACTGATATAGTCAGTGATCCAGTCATTCGAGCCGATGAAGGCGAGGAGGTGCAGGGCACACAAGCCATGTACGTTAGCGCTGTGGAGATGAGATAGTCGCAGCGTAGCGGTGACACGTCCGGTGTTGTCGAGGAAAGAGAATGCCCTCTGCCTCAAAGACACGTTATCGCTGCCAGACGATACGTGCCAAATCCAGTATTGTGCGCTATATGCGGCAAACGGAAAAGCATCTTTCTGGTCAATCGTACTCTTGCCATCGAAGTGGCAGTCTGCAAACGCATCTAGAAATAGATAATTCAGACAACAGCTGGCAAGGAAGTCATGAGGATACGGCATGAGTCGACTACCGAGTGATTCTAAGAAGCTTTGTGTGGTGTAGTGAACTAAACGAACAATTTGGGTCTCAGAGTCGATGGTTACCAACCCGGCACAGCTTGAGATTACGTCGTCAGGATCGTCCAAGTCGTACTCTGGATCCAGTTCTTTGGTTTCCTCGTCGACAGCGAGAGCGTGTCTTATTTCGTCGAGAGTGAGCGGCCGCACGCTAAATGCGACGCAAACCAAGACCTTCCTGGCGAGTGTACTGTGCTCTTCAGGTTGGCTTTGTATCCTTTGGAGTGTGTCCATGTAGGCTCGATCGAGAGCATCACCGCCTTGGGCGAAGGCCTTGAGGGCTTGCAACACGTCCCTAGGCTTCGTTTTCGTCGCAAGGGTGTCGCAGTGCAGCTTTGCCAGCAAAAACCTGAAGGAGTGTTAATGAATCATGCACTGCATGTCTGCCTGTAGTAGGAACGCTCACATGCCCCCAGCACTATCACAGATGGCGTCTTTGATCTTTGGGTGCAGGTCGGTCTTCTGGGCAATGCATCTGATCTTAGGTATCAGAGAATCACAAAACTTCCCAAGGTCGTCATTTCGAGCATGGATCGTCAGTCGTCCATCTTTTGGGAAAACCCCGTTGATTTCCGGATCGGGTCGCGAAGTTGCGAGCACCTTGATAGCCACCTGGGATTTCAGCTTTTCCTGTAGTCCAAATATGAAACTAAGGATATATTTCCACGGCCTCTCATCAGATCCTTCTGGTCCCTTGCATTCGTCCAGAGCATCCATGACGAAAGTGACCAAAGAAAAGCCTGACAACAGCTTTTCGAATATCGCACACATTTCTTCCAGGCTGGGAGCCGCGGGCGCCATGTGCTTGTGCTGCTCCTCATAGACGCTATCGACTGCATTGTTTTTGGTTGGCTTCTGCAGATATAGTTGCCGCACCATACTGGAGACGATGTGATGGCACGACTGGGTAGCAGTCCTTCGAAAGCTGTTATAGAAGAACACAAGTCCCGAGTTGTCATGCTGGGACACCCGCGCTTGCAGACTGTTAATGATGATTGACGCAATGAAAGTCTTGCCAGCTCCTGGAATGCCTGGAAGTAGTAGCGTTGAGGGGCCTGCATCGTTGAGCCACCTGCAGTATATCGGGTCGGTGAAGACCCATTGCCCTGTCCCTGCTTGCACCTTGGTGAAGTAGTCGTGTTGATGAGCAGAATACGTGCCAGGTGCAAGCCAATCCGCAACGCGCTGGACTCTCTCCTTGTCATGGTTTATAGTTAGCCTCGCCAAATCTTGAGCTATCTCGCGTTGTAGTGTACTAGGTATAACACCTTAGTCAGTCCTGAATACGGGTACAATCTGCAGAGCTCACCTGTCCAAACTTTGGCGTACAGCGACTAGCAGTTGGATGGAGGAGCTGAGTCGAGAGCGCAGTTGGCTTGCCTCCTTGGGATCCCATCGGAGACGCTTCCATATCCGCTGTGGCCCTCTTCGGGGCACTATAGTTGCCGAATCAAGTTCAGTATGAGCGTCGATAACCGTGTTCAGGTCCAACAAGACAGTCTCGCAGTTCGTCATGGCATTTCGCAAATCATCTTTGATAGAGTCTGCAAGCTCGTCATCTTCAACCTGAATCTTCAGGTCATTGACAACTATCTGGAGGGTGCGTGTCCTGTTGTAGTCAGAGGGTTTCAACACGAAATGTGAGGCAAAAATGCCTACTCATCAGCCAATGCATTGTATTCCGCTGGAGCGCCCTTGAAACGTCTCCTGGTCCTCTCGACCAATTGTGCTATTACTAGAATATCACCAACAGAGAATCCAAAGCTCATGTTGGAGCAAGCGAGGTCTCCAATATGAAGGCTATCGGATGAAAAGGTTGAAAGAACATGTAGGTAGTTTTCAGCCTCAGTTTCTCAACTGGGCACAGCCTCGCAGCCTCGCAGCCTCGCAGTCTCGTCGCCTAGTCACGTGCTAGTCAGCCTCGTAGCCTTGCAGCGAGATGCGGAGTTCCGAGGGTTTTCCGATGCGCTGAAATTGTTCGCCATGTGAGATCAACCACTTTGATGTTGCCAGTTTGGATTCTCTGACCCAGTGCATACCTCAGCATGCCGCCTGCTTTACGGCATCCGAGCCTCTTTCGATGGGGCCATTGCCCGCGAACCAGGTCTCGCTCCTTGTTGCACCACCACCGCTTCTTTGCGGCTGTGGCGGACGCATTGAGGTAGGTCTCTGGCCCCTATCCCGCACCTCTGTACTGACCTCATTCAGGCCTTACGATGTCGTGGTCATCGGAGGTGGTCATGCAGGGACCGAAGCCAGTGCCGCCGCTGCCAGATCAGGTGCCCGTACAGCACTCGTCACTCCGTCATTGTCCAACTTGGGCGTCTGTTCCTGCAATCCTAGTTTTGGGGGGATAGGCAAGGGGACAATGATCCGAGAGATTGATGCGCTCGATGGAGTCGCGGGTCGTATAATCGATAAAGCTGGCATCCAATTTCGCATGCTGAACATCAAAAAGGGTCCTGCGGTCTGGGGGCCCCGAGCACAAATTGATCGAGACTTGTACAAGAGATATATGCGAGAAGAGATGTTGTCAACTCCAAACCTGAGCGTACTAGAGGGCAAAGTCGCCGATATCATTGTTTCAAGAGAGGGTATAGAGGCGGGCGACAAGATATCGCAGGGACACATAACCGGGATTCGTCTGGAAAGTGGTCAAGTCATTCCTGCCTCCCATGTGGTCATCACCACAGGGACCTTTCTAGGCGGCGAGATTCATATTGGGCTGGAGGCTTATCCTTCTGGTCGAATGGGTGAGGCTGCAACCTTTGGCCTGAGCAAGTCTCTACGGAGCGCAGGCTTCACCTTGGGACGACTGAAGACTGGAACTCCTCCACGGCTGGACCGCGACACTATCGACTTCAGTGTTTTACAAGTGCAGCCAGGCGATTCACCGCCAACACCCTTTTCCTACCTAAACAACACTGTTGAGATTGGAGATGCCGGCCAATTGAATTGCTGGACCACCTACACCAATGAAGCGTCCCACGAGATTATCCGGGCTAATCTGGACAAATCAATTCATATTCGAGAAACGGTGAAGGGCCCTCGATATTGTCCGTCTCTGGAGTCTAAGATTATCAAATTCAAGGATAAGCAAAGGCACATGATTTGGTTGGAGCCCGAAGGCCTTGGGCCAAACAAAATCATCTACCCCAATGGCATCAGCATGACCGTGCCAGCCGACGCGCAGTACGCCATGCTGAGAACCGTCAAGGGCCTTGAGAATGTCAAAATGCTCCAACCTGGGTATGGCGTCGAGTATGACTATATTGACCCACGAAATCTATTCCCAACACTCGAGACAAAGCTCATAAAAGGACTTTTTCTCGCAGGCCAAATCAACGGCACCACAGGTTACGAGGAAGCTGCAGCCCAGGGGATAGTGGCAGGCATAAATGCCGGCTTGTCCGCTCAAGGGAAAGGCCCATTCACTCTCTCCCGCGCCGAAGCATTCATCGGGATCCTGATCGATGACCTCATCACAAAGGGCGTGAGTGAACCGTACAGAATGTTCACAGCACGAAGTGAATACCGAATGAGCTGTCGCTCCGACAACGCGGATTTGCGTCTGACCGAGAAAGGTCGCGTGGCCGGCGTTGTGGGCGACACGCGTTGGTCCCATTTTACGAGCACTCGTGATCAAATGGCAGAGTTACAGAGAAAACTCGAAGAAGTTCGATACCCAAGCCCGGAATGGGTGAAGATGGGGTTCCCTTCACGAATTGACTCAAACCGCCGGAGCGCCTTTGACATGCTTCGCGTGACTGGTGTCGACATGAAGAGTATCTCAGAGCGCGTCCAAGCCCTCCCATCCATCTCCCATTACTCACCCAAAATTCAGGACAGGGTACGAATTGAAAGCCTGTACGCTCCGTACATATCCTTTCAACAGAAAGCCGCGCAGTCCTTTGAGAGAGACGAGGCTCTCGCTCTACCCGTGGACCTGGATTACGATTCGGTTTTCGGATTGAGCATTGGAGAGAGGGAGGTGCTGAAGCTTGTGCGGCCGGCCAGTGTCGGGATGGCCAGAAGGATCGAGGGAGTAACGCCGAATGGGGCGCTGCGGCTGTTGAAGTATGCGAAGAGAAATGGCCGCACCAAGATTGCAGAGGACGAATTGATGCCGAAAAGCGATGGAGCTCCCGTTGAAGGATCTGTTGCTGTGTAAGATGAAATTGGGGGGGTTTTGTACGATATACAATCTTGAGTCAAGGATGGTTGCATAGCGACGGCGTCATGAATGCTGGATACAGTGGCTTCTTTTGCCCGGCTTAAATCTTGCACCCTGCATCTCCTCCTGGTATATGTCATGTCTCGAGTCGCCTCTAGGTCGCAGTAGTTGGCGAATACTTTATCATTGATCCCGCCCTTTACAAAATACCTTAGAATCAAGTTGACGTCGAGAAATGGAGACACTCTGCTTAGTCATCCGTCTGCCATCAAAAACCTCACACGTGAAACATCCTGTCAACATCTTGCTCACCTGTTTTACTATACGACACGACGATTTACGCCAAACAAGGCTGCATCCTACCATCGCTAGCCCTCGCGCGACACATACACAAACTCTGTTCGCCAACAAGCCTGACTATCTGTGCCACCTTCAGGTGTCCTTCCGCGCGGCTCAAATAAACAATCAGGGGCCCGGAAAATCCATCTTCACTTGTTTCCTCCCCTGTGCGTCTGGCTTCTGCTTCCGTGCAGGTCGAGGATATTGAATGACCTTTTCCGCCCGACAGAATGTCCTGCCTATCGCAGGCTCGGTGATCCTCCGACCCACCGCCGCGATGAGTCGAGCTGCGGCGGCCAGACTGTCCGTTCACGGACCTCTTTCGTCGTCCGCTCAATGTGCGTCTGTGATCAGAATCGTCTCGGGGACTTGGAGGAGCGGTTATGATATGCCACGAGGGGCGAACTGGTATCGAAGCGGTCGCGAGATGCGGATTGCTGCTTGTCAAGAGAGCTCGTTTTCGACTTCTACGCCCGTGTCGTCGCGAGGGACTGGGGCTGGAGTTCCAGTCTTGCCGCGTTCGTCGGCTGTATCGAGGTATACATACGCTCCCTCTCCCCTTGGTTTATTTTTATTCGGTCCCGTGTCGAGATCCGTCAGCCTTCAAAAGCGCAAGTCAGCTGACGATATGGCGTGTTGAGCAGATCATGCCTGAAAACTCCAGAGCTCAGAAATTTGCAGAGCTTCCGTCCGACCGGCGTCATCACTGGCCGACTGTCGGATCTACGAAGCTTCTCGACGACTTCCCCGGTATCGAGGCCTGATAAGCAGCACGACTCTAGCACCAAGTGAGTGATGCGATGTTTTTCTCCCCGCCGTTCCCCTCCTTCTCTCTACGCTCTCGAGATTTTTTGGGAAATCCGTATTGCCGTTGGCACGAAGCAACCACCTATTTTTCCTTTAGAAGAGGCATCACAGCGGGTGCGAGCAACTAGAAGCCCTTCATTTCACCTGGGTTCTAGGAAGAAGAGCACATGTTCCCAGCAGTTGGTCGCACTCTCCACGGGTTGAGTTCAAATGTATAGCCCTGCTTGGCCCAGGGGGTAGTGATTCTACACGTCCCCACCTAAAAAAACCCAGCGAGATGTACCCTTTTTATTCGGAAACATCTTGGGCAACGTCCCTTTTCTTGTCTTCCAAGCTTTGAATTGAATTTCCAATAGCTTGCTCCCTACTAACATGCCTCTTCCTCCCAGCGGCACCAAACCCTCAACGACCTCTCCACTCCCGGGCAGAAAACCCAGCACAACAACGCCGACGATCCTGCCTCCCCCACACCTCCCGCGATCCCTCACGACGCAGATGCACGAGAACATCTACACGCTGCCGAACGCGCTGACGTTCTCGCGGCTGCTCGCGGCGCCCCTGGTCGGGTACTTTGTGCTGCAGCACGAGGCGCTGATGGCGCTGGGCCTGTTCGCGTACGCGGGCATCACGGACCTGGTGGACGGGTGGCTGGCGCGGCGGATGGACGCGCAGACGGTGGTCGGCACGGTCATCGACCCGATGGCGGACAAGATCCTGATGACGACGTGCGTGGTGACGCTGACGGCCAACGGCACGCTGCCGCTGTGGCTCGCCGTCGTCGTGCTGGGCCGCGACGTCGCCCTGGCCATCTCGGCCATCTACTTCCGCTGGATCTCCCTGCCCCCGCCCAAGACCTTCACCCGTTACTGGGACTTTTCCCTCCCCTCGGCCGAGGTCCACCCCACCGAGATCTCAAAGATCAACACCCTCCTGCAGCTTCTGCTGGTCGGCAACGCCATGCTGCTGCCCGTCCTGCCCGCGGCGTTCGTCGACGCCTGGAACCTCTGGGGCGTCATGGAGGGCTGGTACTACCTCGTCGCGAGCACGACCGTGTGGAGCGGCCTGAGCTACTTGGGCAACAAACAGGCCGTGAGGATTTTGACGAGCGAGGAACAAGCGCACAAGTCGAAAACAACACAGGGATGAGAAGTGAGGGCGAGAGGAGAGGAGAGACTGTAGAGTTGGGGTTGTCCGTACATGGGAGAGCGAGAAGAGGATGAAAGTAGTCCTTCGTCGTCATCATCATCATTATCGTCATGAACGGTAAGATCATATGTATTAGTTCGCACATCTGTGCTTGTACCATCATACTCTTTCAACGGACCCGTCCAGCCAGTATCAAGAACATCTTCTCTTGGCCCTACAACCATCTCAACTCAAAAAGTCCCATACCTCCCTCTTTTGGTTTTCGTTTGGCTGAGTGAACAGCGATATCCGCAGCTGTGGCGGCGCTATAGTATTGGTGACGGAGCTGCCTCGGGTTGGTGTTTCGTGTATAGCTCTGCATACAGCCTCAATCAGTAGGCAGGGTTCCGCCTGGTGCCTTTACCGTCCAAGAGTCTCTAGGCAGGCCACCACTCGACAACCCCCCCTCTCCTCCCGGTGGAGCGCACGCCTTCCCAAGTAATGTCGTTGCGGATTTGAGCGTGTAGAGATAGACGTGCGTCTGTTTGAAATGACATCGCTCAAAATGACACTTTCTGTCTACAAGACGCGGCCGTCATCTCAGCTGCCTTCAAGCCCGCAGACTTCAAACGGCACATGCATGCACTCAGCGTCGAATGAGCCGGTGGCTTCGCTGAACGATCTCTGTTGTATTGGCAAAGGACTGATCTGCATGCCGCCGCCAGCCGCAATGCCTTGCATCAGTAGGTCGACACCACGTACCGATAGGTGCATGCGGCTAAAAGCTCTGATACGGGTTCCCGGTGAATTCTCAAGGGCCAGATAGGTTTGATTCGACGGAAAAGCGGATGGAGATCCCATCAGCGGGGTGGATCGCGTCTTCTCACCTTCCTACTGCCCTGCCTAGTCTTTCTCTCGCTGACGCAGGACCCTGATCCGGCCAGCTACTCACCGCATCATCCACCTCTTCCAAGAACATTGTTGAATTAACCACGCTTGTTCCCCCTAGCACAACTCGCACGCCCGGCACTGAAGCATTGACCTGTGCTATCATCTTGGCTTCCTCATACGTGACGCCTCCTACCATAAAGACAATGATATCCTGGGGTTTATCTCTCGTGTGGTGTCCATCCACAAAGGGATATTGTAGTTCCTTTAGCCGGCCCTTGATGAGATTTTGGAGAGTGTTTTCCAGCCGCGGAGAGTGTTGGGTGTAGACGTTTTCAACACCCTTCAGGTTAAGGTTGCGTCGAAATTGACTAAATGGGGAGGAGCCGGACTCGAACAGGTCTGTAAAGCCGATGGCTCCACCAACGGGAGCCGGTTGAAGACTGTGATGGTATGCGAGAAGCTTGGGGATGATAGAGATCTTGTATGCAGGCACGTCGGCAATGGACGTTAACAAGTCAAGGAGAACTGGGAGAGCATTGTTAGGATTGCGTTCGTAACGAATGGCATAGAGTGCCACAAGGCGGATTTTATTGTCTGCGGGAATGCTCGGATTTTGAATGTGTTTCTGTAATGTCCTCAAATCGGCGGCATGGTTGTCGTTGCACACCAGGCTTTGTTCTAATTCTGACACATCGAGCAATAACTCGGCGGAGACTCGACGACTGAGTTCGCTGACCAAAGTGACGTGCTTGGAAACATTGCCTGAAAGCTTTCGGAATTCTGGATAGTCTTCCACAAAGCGTTTCATATCAGCTATCGATTCGATCTGGGCAGTGGATTTCGTGCGGCTCTGATATTGGTCGACATATTCCTTGATATTCCCGCCAAGATCGCCAAAGTTCTGATACATGTTTTTCTTGAAGAACGGATCTTGGTCCTGTGAGAGGACGATTTCCTTGAGTTCTGGACGAATATCAGGGACCGCACTCAGGTCGACTCGGCCGTTGTGAATGCCGAGCAATTCATGGACCTGGGCTTGATACGTCCACTGCGTGAGTAATGGAGTGATTGGATCGTCTCTCCGGTCCAAGATCAACAAGAGTGGCGGGGTGTCGGTCTTGCGAAAGTCGAACAGCTGCTCCTCTTGAGTGATTTGGTAGCGAATTTCGGTCGCCAGCTTCTTAGCCATAAGACTGTTCTTTTCGTACCGTATCAATGGGTTCTTTTTGAGCGATAACAGAAGGGCGACCACCCCTTCGGTTGTTCTTTGCAAGGCATCGGTGTTCCAGACGTCTGGACTGTGGCTCCATAGCCTCTGCTTGGGGAAACCCAGGTTCAACGACATCAAGTCCGGATTGACCACAATATAATCTGCAAAGTATTCCTGGACTGCTTTTACCACTTCATGATCGTCCGCCTCTGCCAACCTCTCCAACGAGGACTTTTTGATGATATTGCTGAAGTAGATGTTGTATTCACCATACTTGGGGTCGCGCAGTTCATCGATGAGGAACTGGATCGAATCTGGTGATGGGCGGACAAAGCACAGACATCTGAGGTGACGCATGCGTTCGCGGGCAGGGTTATCGATTCGGTCAATGAGGTAGATCTGATACCGAAGGAGGGCGGATTGAGTGATTGCGGTGGATACAATGGGAACTGTCTCGGAGTCCAGCAGGAGAATTTTCATCTTTTGGCTTTGGGAAGCAGCGGCGCCTTCGCCAACCCCAGCAATCTTGGAGACATAGCCTGAGATGGCCGAGGCGACGTCCATGTTGATTGTGTGGTTCGGTTGGAGGAGTGGGTGCGTAGGCGGGCAAGCACTGCAAGCTATCGGTACATGATGGTCATGCCGGGGTTAGGACAGAGCGGGACTAAAGCAGCCTCGAGTAGGACAAGAGGTCAAAAGGTCAGAAGGCCAGAATAGAGTTGTGTGTAATTGCAGTCTGCGTCTAGTGAACTCCTCGTGTACAAGTAGATCGGTGATCAGGGTCACGCAGAGCGAGCCTCGTCATGGTGCTAAAGTGACGACGAGGCTGCCACTCAATGAGCGCGTGGTGCCTGGCATGTGACCTGATTTGATGTCATCCTTCCATGTCCCCAAAAAAGTTTCCCCCCACGTTTCCTCATCTCTGGTCGTTTGTTGTCCCCAATACTTCCTTAGATTCCCTCGACAATGTCTGCTGTCTTCGACTGTCCACTGTCTCCCAGGCATCCTCTTGATCTTCTGTACGTTGAATAAGAAGACTGAGAAATCAACAAAGATGCTGCCAGGGATAGACATTCGTGAGTTGGGCTGTTCCATCATCCCTCCGTTCAGGAGAGCTTACTGACAACCTCATCCAGCCTTTGTATGGCTCTCCAAGGCCATCGGGGCCTCTGTCGATGAGCTTAAGCTACTAGCGATCTTCCTAGCCTCGTACCCGCTTGCAGCCATCTTGAAACGACTTCCTGACGACAAGCCACAATGGAAGAACATATTCAGCGTGGCCATCACCCTCTTCTATCTGCTCGGCGTCTATGACCTTTGGGGGTGAGTCCTGCTTTATTACCAAGGATGTCGACGCCATCTTTACTCTTCTGTCATACCAAAGATAGACAAGCTGAGAGTACTTTGCAGCGGAACGGTTACTCTTCTCATAGACGCGGTTGGCACCTACCTAATAGCATACTATGTTGATGGCTCGTTAATGCCATGGCTGGTATTTTGTTTTTTGATGGTTCGGTCTCCCTGAACCCCCTGTCTTTCTGACATAGTTCTGACATTATTGCTCAGGGCCACATGTCAATCAGCCACATCGAACGACAAAGGATTGACGACCCAAGTCTTGTAGACATAACGGGCGGCCAAATGGTGTTGATCATGAAACTACATGGCTTCAGCTGGAACGTGCATGACGGGAGACTCAAGGGCGAACTGTTGACTGACAATCAGAAAGACCGTGCGGTATACAAGATGCCTAACCTGCTCGACTTTGCGGGCTATGTTTTCTTCTTTCCTTCCATTTTCACCGGGCCTGCATTTGAGGTAAGTTAGTCTCTGCTTATTCCAATGCTCAGAAACAAGACGGATGGCTCTGAAAGAAGCATGACTAATTATTACCCTATATTATGAAACTATAGTATGCCGACTACAGACGATGGCTCGACGGAAGCATATACGATTCGACGCCAGGTAGCAAAGCAACAGCACCTCCGACCAAGGGTAAACGGCGCATCCCGCACTCGACAGTACCAGCGGTACGGAAAGCAATTGGGGGTCTCATCTGGATTGGTGCCTACCTTCAGTTTTCCCAGTGGTACAACGTCCCATTCTTCCTGTCGGACGAATACATGAAATACTCGTTCCCTTACCGGGTCTGGCTGCTCCACATGCTTGGGTTCGCCTCGAGGACAAAGTACTACGGCGTGTGGTCGCTCACCGAAGGTGCCTGCATCATGGCCGGAATCAGCTACAATGGCATCGACGAGAAGACGGGCCAGGCGAAGTGGGACCACTTGGAGAACGTCAATCCCTGGGGGATTGAGACGGCACAGAACTCACGCGCGTACCTAGACAGCTGGAACAAAAACACCAATAAGTGGTTGCGCAACTACATCTACCTGCGCGTCACGCCCAAGGGCAAGAAACCAGGCTTCCGCGCCACACTGGCAACGTTCCTGACCTCGGCGCTTTGGCACGGCTTCTTTCCAGGCTACTACTTGACCTTTGTGCTGGCAGCGTTCATCCAAACGGTGGCCAAGAACTTCCGGCGTTATGTGCGGCCGTTTTTCCTGACGCCCGACGGGACCAAGCCGACGCAGTACAAGATCTACTACGACGTGCTAGGCTACGTGGCGACGCAGCTGGCGTTCTGCTTCACGACGGCGCCGTTTGTGGTGTTGGGCTTCAACGACTCGCTCAAGGTCTGGGCGCGCGTGTACTTTTACACGGTTATTGGGGTGGCGGCGTCGATGGCCTTCTTCGCGTCGCCGGCCAAGCGCGCCCTGACCAAGCGTCTAGACAAACGCAACCACCCGTACCTGCGCAAGACCATCGCCGAGGAGACTCAGTACCCGCCGACGCTAGGCCTGCCCAACGACCCAATTCGCGAGATCGACGAAGCCATCGACGAGATCCGCGCCGACATCGAGACCCGCCGGCGCCGCGGCAGCATGGTGACCATGCCCAGCGGCGAGAGCCTCAAGAACGCCATTGAGCTCAAGCTCGGCCGCAAGCTCGAGATGCCTGAGTGGAAGCTGCCCCAGGTCTTTGGTGGTGATCATCAGCAGCAGCAGAATGTCACAATGGACAAGGCTCAGGCGAGGCAAATTGCCAAAGCGGCCGCAGCGGCGACAGCAGAAGGGAAAAAGGAGAAATGAGATTTACAGCGGGGCAAAAGGTTCAACAATACGGTCCAGGGATACTAGTGGGAATGAATGAATTTTTCGTCAGTCGACCTCTCGAGCACCAATCAATCACTTGGCGAATGTGGGAGAGATGGTGTTCTGTATTCCTTGCAGGCGCAGGCGAGCAACTGGCTTATCACTTCTATTACAGCGGAGCAATCGATATATTTGTCTGCACGAGTAATACAATTCAAGGCAATATAATGCATGATGCATCATGAACCATGAACCACGAATTATGGATGATAGACATTAGTGGATGCGGATACCGCGTGCTATACTCCATACTGCGTACTGCATACATACGTACAGTACATACATACCCCCCAGCCCTTAGTCCCTATCCGCCTAGATAAGTAGCTAGGTAGGTAGCTAGGTAGGTAGATAAGGTACGTACCGAGTACTCCTTACTTGGCTCAGCCTTGCTGGGTGAACAGACCTGACTTGCACTGCACCGTACCGTAGCGGACTAAACTGTACGACTTGACTCGATATAATAATCACGGCAGGCACATACATACAATACATATCTGCATAGGTAGATACATAGGTACAGTAGATGACCGTAGATCGGGTGCATGTAATAAGTACATGTAAATCCTCGGTACATAAGCACATACATACATATTTGGCACCGAGTGCGGAAATGCCTGGGAAGGAAGGAAGGGCAGGTAGGTAGGTATGTAGGTACCCCTATCCACACGTAGGTGGCACTCCAACAATAACAACGACGACGACAAGTGCAAGTACGAGGTACAAATACAAGTATGACGCTCGCTCGGTACTTGTAGAATCAGCCGAGAAAATCATACCCAGCAAAGCTTCTCGAACAAAGATCCATCTGCATATTTGTGCATACCTCGTATATCTGCACATCCCATCCACCTACTTGTCCCTACTCATACTATCTATCTATTTTGCCTTTTTTTTCCCTTGGCTGCTTATGTAGCTTACTCTCTCCAGTACCCGTGTACTTGGAGGTGCCTACCTCCTAGGGAGATAGGGTGCTATTACGTAGCGAGTACCATAATAATACCTAGTAGTAGCGATTATTTTGCCTAGTTCAGCGTACCGCGCGCGTACTCTGTTTCCTCGTGCGGTCACATCGGTCGCTTCCTTGTCCCCTCGCCCCTTCGTCCATCTTCCGTCGTCCGTCGACCGCCTTCTGCATTCTGCCTTCTGCCTTCTGCCTAGTCTCCTCGGGAATTGGCCGATTCGATTTGCAGTCGCCGCCGTGGCCCCCGTGGTCCCCGTGGGCCCCGTGGCCCGTGACCGGGCGATAAAAGAAAATACTCGGTACAAGATCTCGACATCCCTGTTCGCTTGTGGACTGCAGAATTTGGACGGATGAAAGTATAACCTGATCGCCAACTTATAATTTTCCGGGTGGAGCATTCCCCGTTTTTGAAGCTGTACGGGTACATAGGGTGCCTGTACAAGAAGTCGTTGTAATAGTTAACTGGGGTTGTGGGAAAGACACGGTCTTCGTTGTTTGTCGGCCCGCAAAAAGCCTACGCAAAATCAACAAGACAATCGAGAGGGGACTCTGTCAAAAGAGGTCGAGACGGCAAATGGGAAGGGGAACAGCATAACGAGACAAAGTGTCTGCGAAAAGGAGGCCGCAGACAGCAGCGCCATGAGAAGAACGTAACTCAGGAGGACTCGGAACAGATGATCAGTGCGTAAGCTTCGGCGCTCAGCCTTGAATTCTTCAACAGATGGGAGTATTCTCTACCAAGACAAGTAACCTGTCCAGCTCCAGTTATGATCGTTTTCTTGTGCCAGACACTCTGCTTTGGCGAAAATGCCTTTGTGGTCTCTTCCCTTGGGTTGGAATCTCGACCAACATCTTCAGCTCCCCGGGGATCGATTAATCCAAGAGAAAATATGCAGTTGGGACACCTTGATTTGTGCAATAATGCACTTACTCACATGCACGCCATCGAAAGGATTGCACTTTGCTTGATATCGATCCACAGTGAAGCTGGCAAGAGATAGCTCATAGGTTCATCTGTTGGATCAAGTTGTAGATCGAGAACATCAGGGCATAAAATCAAAATAATGGGTTGCATAATGTGAATAATAGAGATATGGTTTCCCTGCCAGCAGGCAGTTAGGACAAGGCACACGTTTCAAAGCACAAAGAGCAAAAGAATAGCGCAGCAAAGCGTGGGGTGGTGTCCCCAGTGTTTGCAGAACAGAAACTCATTGTAAAACACCTCGTTCGTCTGATTATGGTGGATCTTTCCAGTTCCAGTGCTCCAGGTCACAAGGGCAAGCTCAGGGCCTCAGGACGATCACTTCCACGATAGGTGTATCAGGAGTGAAGCGATACACGTCAGGTAAACGATGCCACTGGCACCATTCATGCGCAACAAGTCATTGGCTTTCTGAGATCTTGCAGAGTCCTGCAAGACACAGCTTGTGTGAGACAGAACACTTGAATAGTCCTGTTGTGGACATCCGGCAAGAAGAAAAGAAAAGGGGTCACGAAAGTTTGGCCGAATCTGAGGCTAGAGCACAAGTGAAACCCACGAGAGAACAAAGAGGACCCAAGCTGGCAAAAGGCGCCGAGTGTCTGCCAGCCCGAAGCTGACAACGCATGGGGACTTGGTCTGCCGAATACCTTATAGGCACATCCTGCGAGCGGTCCAAGGATTCAGTGCTTAGCCTTCTCGGTTTGACTTGAAGAGCGAGGGGAAGCGAGATCCAGAGATGTCCCTGGGATCTTGTAGTTCTGGTGCTCTTGTCTCTGTCTCTTGGCCAGTTGCCTAATAGAGAATGGTTTCAGAAAGTTGTAGCAAAGAACGAGGGCACGAGGACAAGGCCAAACTAACAGAAACATTCAGCGTCGCCTAGAGTTGCTGGTGACTGTGGTATTGTAGCAAAGCCTTTTCTTTCTCTGGTGCAGGTGACCCAGACGGAGAGAGGCCTAGATCAGTCGCTGACTATGTTCGTTCTTGTGCAGATAAGCTTCGCCTGGAGCTGCTCGTAGATGCAGTGGAAGCTAGACGACAGATACGGCAGACTCTTGCTTGGTACGTGGACACCTTGAAGCTCAGGGGGACAGTGACTAACCGAAATGCAACATCTGGTGGCTGTTGGTCCCCGGACACTCGACACTCGATGAGGTTGCTTAGGAGTGCCGGGAATGTTGAATCCGCGCATGCATTGGACTCCGCTCTTCGAAGAAAAGCAATCATCACAGACCCAGAGCACCGACCACTCAATGTCGTGGCTACCTCTTGCCTCCAGGGCACGTTCGCACCAGACAAGGGCAATCTTGTCGGGTCAGATGTCGCAGGCGGAGACTTCTCGGTTGCCAATCCAACGTCTCCAAAGACAGACTGGGAAGGTCAGGAGCAGGAAGGCATTTGCCAGAGCACGAAAAGTGGCGCCCGGAAGATGTGGCTCGCGGGCTGGCTCAGAATGCCCCATATTGTTGCGACTATGAATGGCAGCAGCATGACTTAGACTTTGAGCTCTTTCTCCCCGGCACCATTGGCATGCTTGGGGAGTGGTTGTACAGTAGTAATGGAGCAATGGAGCAATGGCGACGAATCTCCACATTGCTCGACACCTCGGTGATTCATGCGGCCAGCGTCCTCTTCTCGCACACGTCTGGTTTTCTCAAGCTTGATTCCTTGCTTGCTATTATTGGGGGATGTGGTCCTCCTTTTGTGCTCGTGTCTCCTCTCCCAGAAAGCTGAGTCGGGTGGACAGACTCTTGTGCAGATCTCGGAGGCGATGGGCTAATAATCAGTGTCTAGGACTTGCCCTGGTCGTGGAGTATCCGTCTGTTAAATTCTGTCCCAGTCAGAGGTCCCTTGTTTGTTGTCGTAGACGAGATCTCGCTTGAACCCGACCAAGCTGAGGGTGGATGTTTCGAGTGGCAAGTTGGTGTGAGACGCCAGCTGACCTTTCGCCAATCATCTCTGCTCCTCAGCAGTGTGATTCCTTTTGATGTAATGGAGACTGTAACATCAATAGATCAGCATCGGTCCAGCGCGGGCGCAGATGCTTGCAACAGCACCCCCCAGTGATATCTTTATGACTGGACATAGAAGGAGTGGTGGGACAGAGTGATTGCCGGCAGATACTCACATTACAAGGAAGCGCTGGTTTGGCATACCCTGGTTGAAGGCCAAAAGGACGGGCCACCGTCGAAATCCTCATTCTGGCTCTCTGTAAGTGGGAGGATAGGGCTTCCGCTTTGAGTTGAAGGATGATAGAATAACTCCCCCTCCTCATCGTGGAAAGTTATTTGGAGAAAAGAATTTGTTCGCGCGGCTCGAGCCCACAACGGCGTCGACGATGGACCTTGTAGTCGAAGGTGTAGGTACCGCAAAGTGTGAGCTTATTGATAGCGTTTATCTCGAACTTAGTCGTTGCTCCCGACTAACTGTACAAATTTGCTTCACCTTGCCGGTAGATCTAACTTGCAAAAGTCTGAATAAAGTCTGAACAAGTGCTTTGGAACATGTTTAAATAAGACGAAGAACATCCCTTTGAGCAATTCTCGAGGCATCGTAATTCGAAATAGCAAGCTTGTTGTAACGACAGACAGCATTTGCCTCCCACACCCATCAAGACATGATCAGAGCAGAAACACAGCTACAGAAACAAATATGCCTCCCTCGAACTTTTTTTTTTCTCGTCGAGTCCAATGAACCTCCTGGTGGCCGTGTCATTCATTAACCTCCCTCCTCGCCCTCCTACCACCCCACCCTCGTTGTTCGCAATTGACAAATTTGAACTTCATAATTTTCCACCACGGCGTTTCTGTGTTCCCTTCGATCTCTGCATGCTCAACCCGATTCAACTCCGATCCAAGCAATATGGAACCCCCTGAAGTCGCGAATAACCGGCCCCGGTCTCCTTCCTCTTTCGTGCCGCAAAGCCAGGATCCAACTCACAACACCTGATATTGGCCTGGCGATGCTCAAGACCGATTCTAACGGATCCACACAAATTTTGACGAAGAGCTGGATAACTGCAATACTTGTCATGAACACATACTCGGATCTTTGACACGAAATCAATAACTCGCAAAACGGACTGTAACACGGCCAGTGCATGAGAAAGAGGATATTAAATGCTGACTTGCGCAGATTTAAGCAAGACGATATTGTTGCTCATCAACCTCCACCACAAAGATACTCCATGACCAAGGCGAACCCACCAAGACGCGATAACCATCTCCTTTCGTATTCCTCCCAAAAAAGCGAGGGCAGTTGACTGGTACACACATATTCCCTCGTTGGGCTCGTTCTCTTTCAACGTCACTGCGTTACGGGCATGCTCGGGCTCCGTCAAGGACGTAACCCGATAGTATATGAAAAGCGAGGATCTGACAGAAGCCATGGTGCCACCATCGCGGGAGAACAACCCTGGTCGTTGGCGGCCACAACAGGTGCCAGAACTCCTCATCCATTCTATGGGTTGTGAGCCTGTCCTGCCCACTGAGGATACTGCGGTTGAGGAATAGCCTGACTGGCCGTGTCGGGATAGTACGGCGTCCGCGGGCTTTGATACATTGGAGCTGGCTGCGGTGCCGGATCCCTGCGATCCTCGTACTTCACTTGCGTGGGTGAGGGCTGACTTTGCCGGCTCTGGTCCATCTGAGCACCGTTTCCATGCGTCACTGCGTATGGACTCGGCCGATATGGTACAGCTGCTCGAGAGTCCATTGAGACTGGGCTCAACGTGTTGACTGGCCTCTGCATACTCATGGGCGGGTACATGGCCGACTGCGCCTGGGAGCGGTCCGACATGATTGGAGCCATTGTGGTTGGCGTGGCAGGAATTGATTTTGATGATGGAGGAATTGAGCTGTTCAAGGACTCATAGCTTCGATTGTACCCCGTTTGGTCGTACTGGCCATAGTCGTTTCGTTGTGCTTGCATATGGGATGCTGTCACTGGGGATTGTATGTAGCCCGTGGACATGGAAGGGACCGCCATAGAGTATTGGGGTGGGTTAGGCTGTTGAGCCATAGGAGGGTAGCCCGGTGGCATGTAGTATGGCTGAGGGTAGCCGCCTGCATTCACGCGATATGCGTACGAGTTATGTGCTCCTTCCACCTCGTCAACATCCTCGATAGGAGCTCGAAAGCTTTGTCTCGAGGTTAGCTCAGACCGCGGACGGATGTATTGCAAGTTCTCTGTCTGCGATGGTGTCCGCAACTGATTAGCAAGGACGTCGTTCACATGGTAGTACGAGACCAGGTGATGTGTAACGCCTTGAACCGTGACACTCATTGTCTTCTTGACCAAACCATCTTGTTTGAAGCCGTAGGAATCCACCAACGAACCTATCAGCTGTCTTTCCACGTCGGTTGAGGCGCTGCGATCGGAATTGTAGCTGCCAGATTGACCATCTGAGAATGAGCCCCCCTCTGATCTGGCATATGGTTCACCGGGTCGGCTTGGACGTCTCTGTTGCTTCTTCATGGCTCTCTTCTTCTCGCCTGGTGGAAATGGTTTGTCGAGTTCTCGATAGACGAGAAAATTCCCGAGGATTCTGCTGGGGCTCCATGTGACCCCATCCGTCCACCTTTTGATTCCTGATGCATTTTCTTCATAAATAAAGACGCAGCCGCTTCTGATCAGATTGCTTCGTTCTCGATCGTGCGGTCGCCTAGGTACATGCGAAAGGTGCCCTTGCAGGCAAGCCTCGAAGAGAATAAGGGCGTCTTGCGTGGTGGCTACATGGCCTTGGAAGGTTGGCTGTAGCGCTGCTCCGCCAGAAGACATGGCGGGACGTGTGTGGCGTATCGGCGCAATGGTGGGCAAGTGTCTCTGAGCAAAAGTATTATGAGGCTGAGTTTCCGGTTCTTGAGACTCTAATCTTAAAAAGGACTGCCACAGAGAAGAAGAAGTTTCATGCGACGTTCAAGAAAGCCGTTCAGGAGAGGTAAAATTCTGGAGTTCTGAGTTGGGTTGAGAAAGGATATGTGTTGTCGACCCAGGTTGAAGGCACTTGTTTCGACGGCTACCACGCTTGTGAAAAGCAATTTTCGCGCGGAATCCTTGCTCTAGAGTTGTGCTCTGACCTCGCTGGGCAGAGTTGCAAGACAGTAATGTAGGAGAGCAGTGTGCTCAGCCTCAAAACAGGTTGGTGATAGGAAATGCGTATCAAGGTGTGGGTCTCTTTGGGACTGTACTGTAGACAATTGCGCAGATGCTGAAGTGCAACTTGGAAAAGGTCGAAGTGAATAAATTGCCTTCTGCAATGTTCAAAGCTCCAGCGTATTGAGGGTTTTGTGTGGTTCAACCGCAGTGGCTAGTCTTGTCAACCAAGAGGTAACGATGGATAGCCAGTAAGTGGCGAGGTCCGGACGTGTATTGAGCTTAACACAAGGCTGAAGCTGGGATAAGCGAGTAATTGGCCGTCCAAGAATTTGATGCTTTGTGACTGAGAAGAGATCTGTGATGGTTATGGTGGGTTGGTGGAGGATCTGTAGTTCTTTGAGTCTTGTTGAGGCTCGAACTCCTGGGGTTGAAAGCCTCAGTTTAACTTCACGCCAGTTCGCGGTGAATGCTGGGGGGGCTCCGCCACCTTGACAGGCGCCAACCCAAATGTGCCCAAACTTAATGATCCGGCGGATGACGAACCTGTGATTTAGAGGGGTTTGCCTTTCTGAGTGACTTTGTAATTTGAGAGAGGTCCTAGGAGGGGTCAAAGGTGATAGCCGAAAAAGGAGGCGAGGACGTTGGAATGGAGATTTTCCTTTTTGTGACGGGAAAAGAGACGTGTAGGCACTGACGAACAGAGGTTGAGGATGCTGAAGTTTCTGAAATGATCCGAGAAGGCTATCGGCTTAAGTAGATGTCCCCGCGACGACGAGAGATACGCTGGGATCGACAGGGTGATTGACGGATAGGGGTTCGGGATAGAGAAGAGCTGCAGATTCGTCGTGGAGGTAAAACCAGCATTTACTTTTGAGGATGTGCCCCTGGGGTTGGCAAGGAGTCGCAACAGCCTCCAGATACGAACTTCTCCCTCGCACAGTACTTCAAGCAGAAACCCAGGCCGTGAATAAACGTGGGCAATTGTGCTGGAATGGTCCTTGTGAACGGCAGGGCTGCGATCACACTGGCAGGTATCAAGCATTCACTTGACAGTGTTTTCTCTGGGTCAAAGTTGACTTCAATTTGGCCCTCTCGACTCCCGGGGCTTCGTTTTCTTGACTGGTGGTCTGGGGCAAAACAAAGGAAGTGACAAGGGGCAACAGATTGAGTTCCGGATGTCGGAGTTGCTGCTCTGATGGTCGAAGGCTGACTGGATGACAAGGAGGGGGAGGGAGACTGTGGCTAAGAAAGTATGTAAAACTTTGTGGGATGGAGATATGTATGGACAGGCGGAAGAGTTCAGTAGATATAGTCCTGTGTGTTTATGTAGGCTCTGTATCTTTTGGCAGCGTGCGTTTCTGTCGAGATGGTGCGCTCCAGCCCAGATTTTAACCTTGCCAG